CAGGCAGTCCATGGTACTTTTAGTATTCTTTCCCAACAGCACAACTCAAAAGCATCAACTCTTCTTTGGTCTTCCTTCTTCGTTGTCCAGCTTTCGTGCATATGAGGTGACTGAAAATGCCATGGCTTGGGTTAGGTGCACCTTAGTCTTCAAAGTAGCATCTTTGCTCTTTAACACTTTAAAGAGGTCTTTTGTGGCAGATTTGCCTGGTGTAATACATCTGATTTCTTGACTGCTGCTTCCATGAGCGTTGATTGTGGATCCAAGTAAAATGAAATCTCTGAAAACTTCAATCTTTTCTCATTTACCGTGATGTTGCTTATTGGACCAGTTGGCGGGATTTTTGTTTTATGTTGAGGTGTAATCCACATTGAAGGCCGTAGTCTTTGATCTTCATCAGTAAGTGCTTCAAGTCCTCTTCACTTTCAGTAAGCAAGGTGGTGTCATCTGAATATCTCAGATTGTTAACAACTCTTCCTCCAATCCTGGTGCTGTGTTCTTCTTCATATAGTCCTGCTTATCAGATAATTTGTCAGCATACAGATAGAATAAGTATGGGGAAATTATACTACCCTAATGCACACCCTTCCTGATTTTAAGCTATGCACTATCCCCTTGTTCTGTCAAGAAAACACAGGTAATTATCTTTCTGATGTTCTTTGCTTTCAGCCAAGATCCATCTGACATCAGCAATGATATCCCTCATCCCACACCATCTTCAGAATACTAAGAGAGGAGTCACCGGGAAGATAGGGATGAGTCCTAGGCATTCTTGGAGAGTATGTGTGTGTTTTGAGTGTATGCATGTGTATTGCTGCCCCACCACCACTGCCTCAATGTCCCAACCTCTCTAAAACCAACCACAATAGGAGTCAGGGAAGAGGCCCTGTGTGGAGGGCGAGGGAACCTCTGGTGTGCTGTGTTTGACCCGTCAGTAGAATCTAAACACACCAGAGTCTTCCTTGAGTAGAACATTCCAGACAGAAGTATTCTCTTCACCACAGAACTACCCTGATGTGGAGAGAGGAACACAGAGTAACTGCACCCTACCCCGCCCATCAACACCTGTGTGGACCGCAGTCACACTCACGACGCACTGCATTCGTCCTGCAGTTTCCAGAGCACTCTCGTGCGTATTGGCCACTCACAGACGTGCTGGGGGTAGACGGGGCACGTGGATCATCTTCAGTGATCATCTTCATTTTTAAAATGAGGAACTGAGTCACTGAGGAATTAGCTAAGTTGCCAGTGTCCTAAGGCAGTAAATGGTAAAGCTGGGACTGAACCAGTTGCCATGAGTTGATTCCAGCTCATGGCAATCCCGTTTGTGTCCGAGTAGAGCCAGGCTCCATACGGTTCTCAGGGGCTGATTTTCCGGAAGTAGATCACCGGGCCTTTCTTCTAAGGAGCCTCTGGTTGGGCTCGAACCTCCAACCTTTCTGTTAACAGCCAAGTGCATTAATGCTTCGTGCCATCCAAGGATGCCTAAACTGGGGCTAGAAACCTGGTTTTCAGATTTTTAGCACAACACTCTCCGCTATAGCATACCACCTCTCCTTACTCTATAAAAGCCATTGAAATGTATTTCATGTTTTAAATTCTGTAACTATTTCTCCTTGCAGTAAAGCTTCCTCGATGGCAAGATCAGTAGCATATTAGGGAAATACAGCACAAAACAAGCATAATCTAGGTGTTCAAAAAGCATATAGAAATTATAAATTAAAAGAGCATAACCGTTAACCAGCTAGCCTCCATTTCCCAATCAGTTTAAGTTACTTTAATACATGTTTTTGAACTCAAATTAGCTAGAATCCCAACATGTAACACTCTTAATGCTTGCTGAATTGCATCATGTCATTTCATTTTAATTTCCCTCCTTTCCCAGGGTGTCTCACATGCTGGCACATGTATCCGGCACTTGGGATTTCTCAACTCCCGTTATCTCAAGAGGTGAATTCCTCCTTGTATGTTTTGTAGAATCATTCTTATACTTTAAAGATATGTACAATTTGCACCCAAATAATTGACTTCTAAACTTTTCTTCCAAGACCCCTAATGTACTAATTTCTCATAGCATGCCTAAAACAAAGTCAAAGGACAGAGAAAGTGGTATACCTACATGGTGAGCTGTGCCTTGCGTGTGGTGGAGACTCACTGCCACAATTTAATTCAGAAATTACGGGTGATGTACACACAAGAGAATACATGTGACTAGAGCTGCTGGGACTCTGTGATGCTCCCCCCGTTAATTTCGAAAGAGACGAGAACCTCTCCACAGAGACATTTCCAGTCAATAGCCCAGAAGAAAATTAATGTGAATGCATTTGCTGCCCTGCGCAATCTACTTCCGTAGAGATACCGCCTCGGAAACCCCAGGAGGGGTCGCTAGGAATCGGATCGACTCGATGGCAGTGAGAGTTTTTTTAATGATTGTCTAAAAAGACCTATGTTTCAAAGAAACTGGCACCAACATGATTCTGGTCATCCTGGTGAGAGAAGAGTGGCAGGGGCGAGTTGACAGTCCGGAAGCACAGAGAACAGAAGATGTTTTGAGAAGCCATGTCTCCGAAGTGAAGTTAGGTTAAGCAGGGTCACTTTGATGTCTCCCCTCCCATGTCCTCTGCCAGTGGCCTGCTCACACTAGCTCATGCAGCAGGCTTTGGAAATGGCTGGAAACCACTTGGACACAATGCCCATTACTTTATGATAATCCAAGTCTTCTAGAACAGACTTGCTGGGATTGTAAGAGACTGAAAAAGATTGATTTATTTTATTTGCACAGTAGCATGTCTTTAGCCCACGACCATATCTGTTCCAAATTGGCCAGGGCCAGGGAAGCCAAGGTAGTTAAAAGGCCTGTCTGAGTTTCCTGTGGCTTTTGTAGTGAAGTACCACAAATTGGGTGGCTTTAAACCACAGAAATTCATCCTCTCACACTTCTGGAGGCTAGAAGCCTAGAACTTGTAGGGTGTTAGCGGGGCAGTGCTCTCTCTGAAGGCCCCAGGGAAGAGCCTTTCTCATCTCTCCTGGCTTCTGGTAGACCCAGGGAGCGTAGCTCAGTGGTTACATGGTCATTTTCCCTCTACGTCCCTCTCTGTGCCTCTTCTTCTTCTTTTTTTTTTATAAGAAAACCACTCAGATGGTACTAGGACCCACCCTACTGCAGTACGACCTCATGTTAGCCTACCTGATAACATCTTCAAAAGCCCTACTTCCAAATAAGGTCATATTCATAGGATTGCAACTTTTTATTTTTATTTTTTTGGTGGTAGGGGGTAGGGGGACACGGTTCAGTCCATAACAATGTGAGTGTATGTGTGTGCAGACTGGGTGCCCCTACTATAGTTAAGGCTGAAGTCTCGCCCTCACTTATTGCATCCGCCACTTCTTTTGCCCATTGATTTGGCAGAATCCACACTATGAGTGGTGCTGTCACTTTGACATGCCCTGCACAGGGACAGACTTCCACCTCCTTGATACCTATGAGAGTTAATTGGACCAGCTAGATACATATTTCTTGCTTCCTCATTTTAACCTGCTACCTCATTCCCTAGCTTTCTTACCATCCTAGCACTTACCAAAATTCAACCTCAGGCACAGATGAGAAAATGAGTTTTTCCAAAGACAGCTAAATATTAATGGGTATTTAGGCACAGAACCTGAAACTTCATACCCCAAAGGGCTTAGATTTCCAACCCTAATGTCTAAACGTGGGAAGTGATTTGAAAAAAAGATTTGAAAAATTTGAAAGGTTTCAAAGATTTGAAAAAAAAGAAAAAGAAAAAGCTTGTTTGGAAGTGCACTGAGTTGTTATTATGCATCAAAGGGTTCAGTGTGTTTATCTTTGGTCACCTGTAATGTCAAGGCCAATGTTAGATTATATGTTGTCTCTGTTACAAGTTGTCGCCTCCATGTTCAATTTACAGCAGTATTCTCTTCTTCTCCTTAGCCTTCCTTCACCACTAGGATTCACAAATATAAAGGTGCCCAAACAGATACTTCTGAGAGGATCTGAACAGCCCTGAGGTGGTCAAATTGGTGCTTCTTCACTCTCTATATTAAATGTTATTTCTATAGCCTACAAAAGTCTACGAACTATAAGTTTGGTTCTGATTACATAATTATGCTACAGAAGCATGAAAAATATCATCCTTAAACCCCTCCAGGTGCTTAAACAGTTTGATAGACTGTAGCCATTCTGCCATCAGCACCCCCAGCTGTGTTGCTTAGCAACATTTTAATTCCAGGAGAATCGCAGGCGGTGAAATCCCTGTGGAGAGGGAAACAGAAATAAGAGGGCTGTGCACAGATGATCCGCGTTGTTTTTCCTAATACACTGGGAGGACCACTAGCTCTTTGCCTGAGTGAGAAATGGACTGTATGCAGATCAATGGGTTCAGCAGTAAACTGGAACCAGGCTCCATGGCTAAGGCGACACAGGCCGAGAGGCTAGAGGGTTCCTCATTTCCATGATTCGCAGTGTTTTCTTAAAGGTTTCACAAAAGGAAATTGATCTGGGCATTTGGTCAGCCCTTGCCCTTGCCCTTTTGTGCTGTGGGCTAATAACAATTATTTTGGAAATGGACACTTTGGCCTTGATCTCCCTGTGTAGGTCCGGCCAGGTGTCAATAGTGACACAGCCGCCTGGCCACTCTGTCATTACAAGCATATCAGGCCCACACAGGGGTAAGATAAGGGAAGGCAAGGAGGCCTGAGCTGTGTCCCTAAGAACGTGGCCCCTGCTGAACTTCCTAAGCAACCTCGAGGAGGCCTGCTGCCTGTGAAACCTGCACCTGGAGAGGTAATCGCATCCCTGGGAGAGGCAGATGGCATTTGGAGTCTCTCCTCTGCATAACTCCAGCACCTTGCCCGGGCTAGCGCCAGTGTTTCTGAAGAACGCTTTCCACGGCTTATTGTTGTGCTAACTAGTCGCCAGGATTATGCCTGCTCATGTGTTCTAACTGTGTGTGTTTTTCTTTTCTTCTTTTTTCTGTTTACAGGCTGTTGAAAAGGCAAAGCCTAAGAATAATCCTGTAAAGTAAGTTGATATTTTTATTGGATATTTTAATTTTAATGGACTCCACACATGCATGCAATAAATAAATAAATAAGGTTATCTCTATTCATGACAATTAAACAGAATAAAACAAAAACAAGAGAAAAAAAAAAAAAAAACCTTCCAGTGAGCAGAAACCAGCTTTGATTTTTCTCCGTGTCCCTGATGAGGAAATGCCTCAAGTTGTGTGCTCAGTTTACAGAAATTAATGTGCGCCACCCATGATGAGCTGGCAAATACCATTATAATAGTAGTCAATGCATAGTACTCCAAGCGTCTGGATTTTGCACATTTTTAATTGCAAACCTTGGGCCCACGACAGAGACATAAATGGCTGAAAGGGGCCAAGTGATTTCTCACCACGTGGGGTGGTTTGGCACCTCAGCATCGAGGCCTCACTACTCTGTTAATGAAAAGCTCATAAAAATATATTTAACTCAAGGTTTTTGTTGCTACCAGAGAGCTATTTCCAAGGCATTTTATGGGACACTATTAAATTATAAACAAGCTGCATGCCACTCTTTTAAATATAGACATCCTATCTCTTCCAGAAGGGAGGCTTTCAAATTAAGAAGGATGTCTGTCTTGTCCTTTGGGTTGGTGACATCTGATTGCAACGTTACCATGCATACCGGTTGGGCCAGCCATGTGATGAGGGAAGAACTGCTGTAGTTGCTGGGTTATTACAGACCCAGTAATAGCTCAGATAGGAGCTCTGGTAGCGTAATGCCTAAGGCACTTGACTGCTAACCAGAAGGCTGGCGGTTCAAACCCACCAGCCACTCTGCGGAAGGAAGGTTGGGCAATCTACTTCTGCAGTGATACCGCCTTGGAAACCCAAGGAGGGGTCACTAAGAGTCAGGTCTGACCTGACGGCACATAACAAAGACGAATAGCACAGGTGCTAACTGGAAGGTCAAAGTCGGCAGTACAAACCCCCAACCAGCCGCTTTATAGAAGTGAGGCAGTCCGCTTCCTTAAAGATTACAGCCTTGGAAACCCAGTGGAGCAATTCCACTCTGTCCTCTAGGGGCACTGTGGGTCGGAATGGACTCCACGGCAGTGGGTGTGGTTTGGGCTTGGCTTCTGTAAAGACTGACAGCCTTGGAGACCCGGTGGTGCAGTTCCACTCTGTCCTCTAGGGGCACTGTGGGTCGGAATGGACTCCACGGCAGTGGGTGTGGTTTGGGCTTGGCTTCTGTAAAGACTGACAGCCTTGGAGACCCGGTGGTGCAGTTCCACTCTGTCCTCTAGGGGCACTGTGGGTCGGAATGGACTCCACGGCAGTGGGTGTGGTTTGGGCTTGGCTCCCATAAAGACTGACAGCCTTGGAGACCCGGTGGTGCAGTTCCACTCTGTCCTCTAGGGGCGCTGTGGGTCAGAATGGACTCCACGGCAGTGGGTGTGGTTTGGGCTTTGCTTCTGTGAAGACTGACAGCCTTGGAGACCCGGTAGGGCAGTTCCACTCTGTCCTATATGGTCGTTGTGAGTTGCAATCCCCTCAACAGCAATCTTAGTTCATGACAGCCAACTTCCATTCGAGTTGGTACCAAATACAGACATGGGGAGAGTGTATTGATTTTTAATAGTTTCTGGGAGAATGTGTCAGCTAATGCCAATGGCAAGAAGGTTGTTTGTGCTTTATCAAAGAATTAGCTTTTCCAGGACACCAGAGAGGCCTCCTGAAGACCTGGGCTCCGGAGCAGAAGCACCAGAGCTTGGCTCAATTACACTGAGTGATAGCTGACAGAATCGGATGTTCTTAAGGTTTTATGTATAGTGGTCCTTCTTTGGCAGTTTCTACTATCTGCCAGAGATTTCCCGTTCCACACAGTGTGCATATAATAGGGTTTGATACATGTTTTCTGAATGAGTGACCAAGTAAACAAATTGGACACACCCCAGAAAACAGTCCTTCTAGAACCCAACCTAGAAGCTCAATAAGGCTGGTGGCTGCACCGGAGCTCAGAGGACCCTCTAGTGGGGGCTGCCGTCAGATCAGAAGGGCAGCTGTATTATAACTGACCGAGTCATCCAGTCTCTATTATCCTTGACTCATGCCACATTTCAAATGTCCCCACATTTCTCTGGTTTGTCCTATCTGCTTTGCCTGGGACCACTTACTGCTTTGATCTTGTGAGCAAGAAGTAACATTTGACTGGTCTTCTTTGAGCATACAATGAAGTGTGTCTAGTCTTGCTGGAAAAGTAGAGATTTGGTGGCATCATTTGTAACTGAAGTTTGAACACAGATCGGTAAAGATGGGCAGCCGTGTGCTTTGATGCAATCTGCTTGCCAAAGTCCAACCCACAGGCCAAATCCAACCATTTTAAATAGTTGACAAAAGGAAGAAGAATATGCAAAAGAAGAATAATATTCAGCAAAATGTGAAAATTGTATGAAATTCAAATTTCAATGCCCATAAAAAATGTTTTATTAGAACACGGTCATGCTCATTTGTTTACCTATTGTCTGTGGTTGCTTTTGTGCTGAGTTGTTGTACCAGAGACCAGTGGACAGCAAAGCCGGAAATATGACAGAAAAAGTTTGCTGACCTCTGCAGTCATTGCTCAGGTAGAAAAAGGCACAGATGGAAGCTTTTTGATGGGTGCTGAAGGCTAAACTATCAATCCTCTCTCCTTCTGGCCTTTAAAAAGTGAGCAAGTATTTCCTGAGGCCTTACTGTGTATTCACAGGAGCTCTGGTGGCGCAGTGGGTAAGGCATTCAAGGTCAGCAGTGTGAGCCCACCAGCTGCTCTGCAGAAGGAAGATGGGGCAATCTACTTCCATAAAGATTTACCACCACCGAACCCAATGGGAGTTGCTGTCAGTCAGAATCGACTTGATGGCAGTGAGTTTTTGGGGTGTTTTGGTTTTAGAGGGTTGGTGTGAGTCGGAATCAACTCGATGGCAGTGGGTCTGCCTTTGGTTTGATCGTGTGTTCAGGACGTTCTGGGTGGTGTGCTCCCTGATTCTCACTCACCGCTCAGTACTTTGGAAAATTGTTATGGATATAAAATCCATCGATAGCAAAGTGGCAGCTCAGATCCTGATTCCTGCGAACACACTTCCAGAACCTTGGGGTGGTGTCCCAAGTCATATCTAGATGGCTATCTTGCAGTGTGTATGGATTTACTGAAATTCTGCTCCTTGTCAAGATCCAGCTACGGCTCAGTCACCTCTCACTTGGGGTGATTTGTCCATTTTCCTCTCCAAAGGTTCGCCTGCCTCTCCGTTTACCCAGCCACTTGTTCCATTTGCTTTGAATACCTTCATGGTTGTAAGTTCTTTCATCACCATAGGGACACTGTGGTACACATTAATTACACTCCATATAAGGAAGAAATTAAATATGTGCTTGGTGGGTATAAGGACATAATGTACCTGGCTACGCTAATGACTTTGCCCTGAAATAGTAAATATTATCACTGAGGGTAAGAATCAAATGGAAAGGTGTTAACATCAGTGGTGAGGAGAAGAGATGCCTGATGTAGTTCTCAGTATAGAGGAACCATGCTGGTGGCAAAGCTTGATTTGGATGTTACGACTCTGGTTCTTTAGTGTGTCAAGGAGACTTTCTCGTGAATGTTAACATGCCGCGGCAACCGTCTCCAAGCCTTCATTGTGACAACAAGGCCTGAGAGATGTACAGATTTCTCCTACCATATGTGACTTATCACATACATTTTTTAAAAAACACATTTCTGTTATTAAGACATATGTGATAGTACACTTCTGCAAATGTGAATTGCTTTTGGCTAAAAGCCATGCACTAATAAGTTGACTTGAGTCTAACTGAGGTTGACATCTGTTACAGAGAAAGAGAGAGAGAGAGAGAGAGACAGAGAGAACACAATTGCCAAGCATGACATTCTTCCTTGCTTTTCCACTTTGACAAGGCGGTTGTTGTCTTTCACAAACCAGTATCATGGTCCACTCTGCATAGGAAATTACAGCTTTATTTAGGAACTGATCCATCTCAGAGATACGGTAGTTTCATTATTAAAAAATGACAAATAGCCCGTGACCATGACGTGGGTGGGTGCATTATTCATTTCTCCCGCTTGAATATTTATGGAGGATCTCCAGCATTCCGGGAGCTGTGATAGATGCTGAGGGAATTAAAAATGAATCTGACACAGGTCTTACCCTCGAGGAGTTTAGAGTCCACTAGGAGAGATAGAATCGGTTTGTAAATAACAAAATACAAGATCAGGAGAGATGTGTTTGTTAAGTGGGGGACAGATCGCGCCTGAGGAAGGCTCTGAGGAGAGGGCGTACCCTAGCCAGCACTACCGGGGAAGGTGTGTGGGGTGGGGTGGGGGAGGCGTCTGCACCAGGACTTTCAGGACTGCTGATCTGAGACACTGGTACCGAGGTGGCAGGGGAAACGAGGAGCCCAGGCTGCCTGGCTGGGTGCAGGCAACGAAAGGTCACGTTGGAAACCAAGGCTAAGAATTGGTGGTGACATGGGGCCCTGAGGGCCTATGCAGAGGAAGGATAAGCCCTGGTCGAGTCAAACAGCACTGAAGAGCTCAACTTATTACTGAATGTGAATCATCAATTAGTCTCCTAATTATTAAGCATAAACCCAGAGTCAGTAGATTGGGGTTCTCATCTTGGGTCTGCCACTAGCTTGTGGTGTGAAATTGGACACGTTCCTACCTTGCTGCAGGCCTCAGTGAGGGGATTTATATGGTTCTCCACCTCTCAGGGAGAGCAGGGCCGCTAGAGGGGAAAGCCTGCTTTCTATGTAGGCTCATTTTAGGCAAATATTTGATTGGTTGAAGTTTGAGGTGGATGCATGGCCATTATAAACATTGCACATATCATACATATGTGTTTCTCTACATATGTGCACATGCACATATGCACAGAAAGCCTTTACCCATCATTTCTGCCTTGGATATGGTGCCAAGAAGCCATGTCATTAGAATTTTAAAGAGAGCTGTTAGAGGATAAGCATGGCCCAGAGGACATTG